ACAGCCTTTCCTGCATCCACCAGGTGGGTCACCTGGTCATAAAAGGAGACCAGGTTGGTCAGACACAACCTACCCCTCCTAAACTGATGCTGGCTGGGTCTGGCCCATCCTTGAAGGGCTGTGTGATGACACCCAATATAATCTGCTCCATTACCTTACCAGATACTGGCCTATAACTCTACCAGGATCCTCCTTCCCACCCTTTTTGTGAATGGGCAGCATACTGGCCAGCTTCCACTCATCTGGAACCTTACCAGTGAGCCAAGATTGTTGGTAAATGATGGAGAGCAGCTTTGCAAGCTCATTTGCCAGCTCCCTCATCACCCTGGGATGGATCCCATCTGGTCCCACAGATTTATGAACATCCAAGCAGCTCAGCAGTTCTCTGCCTGCCTCCTCCTGGAGAACAGGGGGACCATTCTGCTCCCTGACACCATCTACCAACCCAGGAGGACAGCTGTCCTGAGGACAAGCTGTCTTCCCAATAAAGACTGAGGCAAAGAAGGTATTGAGCACTTCCATTCTCCCTATCTGCAGTTACTAAGCTCCCTCCAGCATCCAGTAGAGAACAAAGGTTGGTCTTACCCTTCCTTTTACCATTAATATAATTGTAAAAATGTTTTTTATTATCCTGTACAAAAGTTGCCAAATTAAGTTTGAACTAAGCTTTGGCCTCTCTAATTTTTTTTCCTACATGCCCTAGAAACCCCCTTAGATTAGAAAACCCCTTTGGATGCTCCTCCTGGTTTCACCAAATATAGAGAACTCTGTAATTTCATGATCACTGTGCCTAAAGTGGCCTCCAACCACCACATCTCCCACCAGCCCATCTCTATTTGCAAACAACAGGTCTAACATAGTCCCTTCCCCTGGTGGGCTCACTCACCAGCTGCGACAAAAAGTTGTCTTCCACACACTCTTAAAAACTTCCTGGACTGGCTCTTTTCTGCCCTATCAAGTTCCCAGCAGATGTCTGGAAGGTTAAAGTCACCTACAAGGATAAGGGCTGGTGACACATCCTAAGCCTGTGGGATTCCTGCACTTCCCATGCTACAGAAGACCTGAGCGCTTAACTGGATGGCAACAAATGACTCAGTAAAAGAACTGCTGGACTGCAAGTGGAGAGAAGATTGAAGAGACCATTCGTTCCCCTGGCCTTGACTGGTAAAAGGGACAAGCACCAGATACTGTCAGCAGGAAGTTTTCTGCTCTGCATGCTGAATGACCCACAGAAAGTATGAGGGAAGATTCTTATCTGGCTCCTCTGAATGGGCAGCATTCCTTCAAAGGGCCATGGACACTTTTACAACCTACTCCTAGTTTAAGGCTCTTGTATCAGGTATTTATAGATGATTTCAAACCAAACAGGGATCAGCATGTGACACCAGGTTTGGTCAGCAAGAGCTAAAAATATTTGTGAGCCAAGAGCAAAGCGTGGCCAAGAGGCACTGGTGGTGTAACCTGACAGCACCGCAGATCTCCAGTTACACAGCTTGTGTAACCAGAGTCACAGAACGTTCCCCTGCATGAGGGGAGTCTGACAGTAAAGCATTATGAAGGCCAAACTGCCAGACTGCAAGTTTAGGAGGTTATTTGAAAGAGCAAGTAACCCAAATGAGGTATACAGGGAAAGGCAGCCCAGAAAAGGAAGCTCAGCACTTGGAGGGTTTGTTGGGCAGAGCACAGCTGCTACCAAGCTGGCCAGTGCCAGCATGTGGGACTACAGCAGCTGCCACAAATACCAGCAATTAATTAGTGAAGCAGGGGAAGAGTCTCCACAGCACTGAAAGGTAACTCCCATGAATCACACAAACTGCACTGAAGGAGTCGCTCAGAGAGTGCAAATGAGCACAACACTCTCGCCTGGAAATACACTCAAATACAGATCTGCAGAGCTAAGCTGGAGCTACACCCCCCCACTGGCAGAACACCCTCACAGCCACACACTCCCCCTTGTCCTTCTCACAAGCCACACACCTTCCTAACATAGTGTTCACACCTATCAGGTGTGAGCACTTCTCACCTCACCGAGGGGCAGGTCATGCTCTGACTCTTTCAGGAAATCAATATCTCTGGACGAGATGATCCCAACCAGCTTGCCCCCCATCTTCCCATTGTCCGTGATGGGAATCCCACAAAATCCATGACGAGCTTTTGCTTCAAACACATCTCGCACTCGATCATTTGGGCTCAGCACCACGGGGTCTGTGATGAATCCTTGCTCGTATTTCTGAAAGGAAGCAGATCCAGCAACGAGGCTGAGTGGCACTGCCAAGCCACACAGGAGCAAGGCACATGCCTGCAGGCTACTGCAGCCACTCACACGGGTCTGCATCCACCCAGCCTAGCCACATTCTCACCAACAGGACAACTGTCAAACGAGCAACAGGGCTAACACAAATAATGTTAAAATCCAAGAGTCTCCAGCTCCTAGCTGAAATGACGAGGAATATTCCCACACCAGGAGGATTCAAGTCCCAGGCTGACCACAGACAGTGCCTGGCACACAACAAGAGGGCTGTGCCTGGCAGCACTACAGCTCTGAAACACCAAGATCGGGCACACGTCAGCAATCTCCTCACACAGCTCATTCAGCGAGGCCAGACCCGCTGCCCACCTCCACGGAGGACCCTATGCCAGCACGGTTTGGCGCTGCCGTTCCAGCCACTTACCTTCACCTTCCGCACTTCGTTGGCCTGGAATTCCGGGGTGCAGTTGTGGTGGATGAACCCAATTCCTCCGGTCAGCTGGGGACACAAAGGCGGCTGTGAGTCACTGCAGACCAGCGGGGTGCAGCAGCGGGCTCGGCACCGATTGAGCTCCCGGGCCCGGCCTCGCCTCGAGGGGCTGCGGGGACCCCAGGGCAGCCACGCGGCCGCCTCAGGCAGCGTTTCCTGCCCCGCCAGCCCGGTGGCCGCACTCACCGCCATGGCGATGGCCATACTGGCCTCGGTGACTGTGTCCATGGGCGAGGAGACCAGCGGGGTCTTCAGGGTGATTCTCTTGGTCAGCGCCGAGGTCAGGTCCTGGCAGGGAGGCAGGCGGCGGCGGCGGGTGAGCGGCGGCACCGGCGCCACCGCCGGCCCGGCCCCCGGCCCGCTCCCCCGCCCCGGCCACTCACCACCTGGTCCGCCGTGAAGTCGATGTATCCCGGGAGGATGAGGAAATCGCTACGGGGTAACGAGAGGAGACGCGTCAGCGACCGCCGCGGCCCCGAGTCCCGGTCCCCCCGCCCCGTGCCGGCCGCACTCACTTGTAGGTGAGCCCATCGCCGCAGCTGAAGAGCTGCTGCGCCGTCAGCCCGTCGTCGGGCACGTAGCCGGTGCCGCCGCTGATCAGATAGTCCGCCATAGCCCCGCCGCGTGCCCGCGCCGCCACACCGCGCGCACGCGCGCCCCGACGGCCGCCGGGAGGGACCCGCTGTGCCCGCCCCGCGACGGCGTGGACAGAGCGACTCCGGCAGGGACCAGCGCCGACAGCGCCCCCTGGCGCCATGGAGGGCCTCAGAGGGAGCACAGCCCCGTCCCCCGCCCTGAGTTGTGCCGGGCGGGAGCGGGGACACACCGGGCCCGGCTGTCGCTCTCAGCACCTCCTGAACAGCTTCTCAGCACCGAGCCCGGACATGCTGAGCCTGGTGACATCGTGTCATCGCGGCTGCTTTCTGCTCAGGCCTAGCCGCCGGGCTCGTGTACCCGCAGGAGGCAACCAACAAGAGAGAGCTGAACTCCAGTAGGGCCCTGCGTGCCAGTCTCTGGCTTGGTTGGCACCAACTTGTGACACCAGTACAGTGTGATACAGTGGTGGACCTGCTAGACCACCAAAAAAAGCCCAGCTACGGGTAACATGGTGACATGCACAGAGAGACGCTGTGCAAGTCACATGGGAGCCGAGTCCAACACCAGGTACTCTTGCAGCTTCAGAAGATGAGAATGGGCTTCTTGGGTCCGTGGTGAATGCAGAGCTGGGACAAACCAGCAGAATCCAAAGCAATTTTGTAAGTCAAAGGGAGCTGCACGAAGGATGAAAGTCAAGAGGCAGGAGCGAGGCCAGTCTTGCACCTTGAGGGGAATGAAAAGGAGAGAGGCAGAAGTCTCACCAGAGGATCCAAGGTGATCCCAGCTAGGCATTAGCCTCCTCTTCCCAAAGCTACGAGGCCAGGCTGTACAAACAAGCAGTGTGAAGAGGATAGCTACACACTGGGGATGCGGTGTAGCACCTTCAGGTCTGTGCCACAGACTGGGGCTGGAGGGAGGATTTTGGAGAAGAGCTGTAGCAGGACTATGCCCAGAGGAGCAGAGCAGGCCCAAACACAGATCTGCATCAGAGGAACCTTACAGGACACAGCAGTTGGCTTTTCCCAGGATATGTTCCCATCCCTGCAGTTCCATTTGAGCATTCAGGAAAAGTTCCTGTACTGCTGGTTACAGAGAGACTTCCTTCCTCCTCTTGGTTTGCTTGTTGTTGACATTCTAGATCAGCCTCAGAGCACCAGGGACATGTGATGACCACACCCCTTCTCACCTGCTCCCCCCATAACACGCTGTCCAAGGCAACCCCCTATCTAACACTAACTAGGTCAGGGAGTAAAGTGCTCCTGTGCCTACATCTCCCTGCTGCAGAATATTCATTCCTTGTCCAAAGATCAGAAAGCAGCTTCAAGAAATGTTACTCATGTTACCCTGTAGGACACAGAAAATGCGAACAGAGATCAGAAAGCGCCTCCTGCCAAGGACATGCACTCTCGAGCCAGCATTACCTGTCACAGGATCAGCAGAACAGGAGGTGTCATGCCAGACCAAGATCAGTGTGACAGGTCTCTCTACCCTTATTTAAAAAAAGAACAGGCTAACAAAGGTTTGCTGAGCCTATCTGGGAGGCACACACGAATCTGAACCGTCGTGCTACAGCACTGGCACAGCAGTAAACAAGCATGTTGGCTTCTGTTCCAACAGAAACATCAGACAAAGTTTAATGGTTCTCAAACAGACTACAACAAAGGCTGCAGGGAAAAACATTTTATTTCCAAGCAGATTACAAAGAGCAGAGAATATAAGAGTAAAATTAAATTAAAAAAATAGTTGAGTGCATCTCTTTAAAATGATTTGTAGTGTGAGTTACTCACGGGGCAAAGCTACTGGAGAGTTCTGAAGGTCACTTTGCAGGATGCCAATCACATGTGCTGTTTAGACCTGGGTCAACACAGGAGGGACAGACAAGATGTATTTTGCATATAGGCTGCACACTCATTATCAAGCGAGGTTTTGGGCTGCAACTGGACCCTGCCTTTTTGAGACATCCCCTCTGCCTCATTCTCTCCTGCAGTTCCCTCAAGTTCTAGACATGGTTTATTGCTGCTGTAAGTGGGTTTGATCTGCCTTCCCGTTCTGATGAGCTCCAACGAGAAAGGAGAAGCAGGCAAACACAGCTGCCATGCACAAGGTTACAGGGAATGTGACTGCAGTGCTAAGAACAGAGCATCAGCCACGCAGCAAAGGAAAGCGACAAGCAGGGACACGGCAATCGCTTCAGAGATTTGGGGGCAGCATGTCAGCAAGACTTCTGGAAGAATTGAGATGTTCCTTAAGGTAGGAAGAGGTATAAGTGGAGAAGGGCTCTTTCTGAAACATTGGCACCAATGAAACAGGAGAGGCTGAATCATCAGGATACGGTGCATTCCCTGTAATGTTTGAGAGGAGCAGCTCCAGCAATAAGATAGGGAGAAAAGCCCCATATAGGGTGGAAGACAGTTGATATCCCACTTTAACAGTGATTTAGGAGTCCAAACACTAACTCCAAGTCAGTATTTAATTCATGTAAGAATATGGTTTGGCTGGACAGCCGTTCAGTGTCCAGCAAGAGGATGAGCAACTACAGTACCAGCAGTCCTCCACCCCCTGTACACTCAGGGTGCTCTTTTTCTACCATTTCTGGATCTGCTCTTATCACAGCATAGGAGTATTCTAGGCCTCATCCCTTCTGTGTATGCCAAGGCAGACAGTAGCCCTGATGCAGCTGATAACAAGACTGTCTTAAGTTCTGCCCGAGCAGCAACAGTGCAGAAGAGGATTCTTAATCAGAGATCAGATTAAGTATTTTTGTATTGTCCAAGGCAGAACAGTTCTGGAACTACTTCAGACCTTGTGACTCCTCTGAAGTCCAGACCTCTAGGGGTGAGGCAGCCAACAGATGAGAGCCCTATTAAGTTCTCAGACCATACCCTTTATACACTGCTCTAGACAGGAATGAAGAGCCACTCTCTAGTCTGCTGTCTGCTGCTTCAGCCATTACCACTTAAGAGGAAATACTTGACCTCTTGAAAGCAAATGAAAATCTAATGGTGCTGTGGACACCTGTAAAAGGCTACAAGTTTCTTAAAGAAAGCAACACTGTTAAATGTCAAGAGCTTGGACAATACAGGAGTCTCATGTCAGAATGTGAGGTGCTTTACAACAGTCAGTCTCTGCTTTCTATGGTTCCTTTCATACCACAGTGACAAGATGGGCACAGTTCAAAATCAACAACACACGGTCTCTAGCTTGACTTCTCAGCTCTATTTATTTAGAGATCGATGCATTTTCAGCCTGTCTCATACAAGGCATAGGGCACGGAGAGTTCCTGTCAATATATACACGCATATAAGAGCAGTACAAGCAGTTTGGCACTCTCAGAGCCAAGGGGGAATGCCCTTTAAGCAGCAGTCAAGCTGGTAATAGGAAAGTGTTAAAAAGCTATTTTACATGTTTGACTGGGAACATTTCCCAGAATGTGGACAGCAACCCTAAGCCACAGCACTCTTCTGTGCTACTCTGTGCACATCTTCCTACGAGCCCCTACAAGGGAGCAGATCATGTTCTTCACTATCAAAGAACATAGTATTTATATTCTAGAAATACTGTACCTTTTAAACTAGCTCCAGAGAGACAGACTAGAAGCCAGATCCAGGAAAAGAATCCTTAAGTCACAGTATATCGATTGTCTCTAAAAATGGGGAATGAAGTTAACACAGTGGACATTCTGATGAGACAGTACAGAACAGTGCAGCAGTCCACTTCTGCATCAGCAGATCCTCTCCTATGTACATGCAGACAATGAGAAAGGAATGGAAACACTCCAGTCCATCAGGACAAAATCAATCATCAGGAGATCTCCACAGCTCACCATGTGCCTAGTTGCCCTGTTGTTAACCAGTATCCTCCAAGGAGAACTCTTCCCCCTACAAAGACTTGAGATCATCTTGCAGTTAAGAGTAGTACAGGAAGTGCGCAATCTAGAATTTTAAGGTAACATGGAATTTTGTTTCCCCAGAAAGCTCAGCTGAAGTTCCAGTTTGTCCCCAAACTGCAACTGCCCTCAAGTTCTGTCAAGTATTGCAGCTTCTGTTAATTTTTAGTGTTTAAAGGTGGCTCTCAAGGCTGCCCAGTAAAGCAACTGGTACAATGTGTATCTGGCAGATTTTTTAATATCCACTGTATTTCTGATGGAGATAGCCAAGGCAGCAGGGTTTCCAACTCTGCTCTGATGATGGGACAAACTGCCCAAAAGGAAGGGAAAACCACTCTGCATGCTTGTTGGGCACACCCTGTGTAGCAGGCACATGCAACTGCTTGGAATAGTGGGAGCCTGCCCCAACCATGTCCTCAAAGACTTAAATAGGGCCAAAGATGGACATGCCAGTCACTACGATATGGTTAAAGGAGTAGATGTTTCTGACAGCTGAAGCAGTACTAGTGATCCCAAGAGCCATCCTAGAAGGGGGCAACTGCTGGCTCCCAGCAGACAAGCTAAGGTCACAGTACCTGCTACCAGCACTACACCCACCATCTTCCCAGCTTACCCACTAGGATCAGGGCACTGATCTGGGGCTGTTTTCCTCTGGCCTAGGTCTGAGGGCAGACACTGAGCTAAGAGTCTAAAAACAACAGTGCATTGCTACTTCACCTCTCTGCAACACACTTGAGCACAGAGTCCTGTAGAGGGAACAAACTGCTCATACTGACAGCTAGCTCAAGCACACCTGCTTCCTCAGGAACACCAATGTCAATATGAAGCATCAGGGGCTTGGGAAGTATCTCTAAGCTGCACACCTCAACACTGCTCACGAGCACAAAGACAGGGAACACTGGCTACTCTTTATCAATTTACATTCTGCACAACCAACAGAGAGGGCACACCTTCCTTCCTTCTCTCTTATATATCTCAGATAGGTGCTGGACAACAGAGGCTTCAGGAAAGTTGCTTGCCTGTACACAAGTTTAAGTTCTTTTACTGTAATATATATTTAAATATTTATCTGTGTATTTTGGAACAGGGAAGGGACATGAGGTGGAGAAGCAGGGAAGACAAGTTCAAGAAGCAGAGTAATTTCTCTGCATACAAGAAGCTGATGGCACAAGTAACAAACCTGGCAAGTGATCTCCCATTTCAAGCACAGCTGGCTACCTGCTGGCTTCAAAAGAGTAGACTATTTGTTAATGATATAAAATACAGCAACCATTTAAGATGCAGCAAGGCAAGGCTACAGAGCTGGGGATTATGATCATGAACAATGCCAAAAGCTACACAGCTGTGTTAAAAACTGTGAAAAGGCTGTTAAATGGCAGGAGTAAGCCATATGCTGCTCCTGGAAGGCCTTTTCCCTCCACTACCCCTCCATCATGCCGCTGTTGTGATGCATTTGAAAAGGTGGAGAGAACTGGATTTGCCATGGAGTAAAGCCACAGAACATTAGGACAGTCTGATCTGGTCTCACAAATCCCATGTTCCTAGCCTGGCACTGAGCTTCCATCAGCAAGCAGACATTCAGGTCCTTCAACAGAAGTGTATGCCCTTCTACCTTCATAAGTTGTAGGGGTGAAAGAAATCCAGCAGAGTTGAGCTGGAAAGCATGAAAACAACCAGTTTGCATACTGATCTTTGTATAATGACCCCCCCACCCTCACAGCTCACTCTTCCCCAAATAAAGACACATTGTTCAATGGCATGTTGAAAAGACGTGCTCGTCATTCTTAATAAACAACTAGAGTAAGAATACATAAGAGAAACAGGGTGGTATCTTTATATGATACACAAGTGTATGTTACAAGAATTCCATCAGGCACAGAAGCCTCAAGGTTTAAGGCCTCAATGTTAGGCCATAAAAGAAGAGTGTGGTAAAGTTTGTACTTTTAACATCTAAAAATGTCACTTAAAGGTCTGAATAGAAATTGTTGGTTTGTTTGTGGTTTTTTTGTATAAATCATAATTGCAGTTCACTCTCTCCTCTTTCTTCCAAGATAACAGCAAATTAACGTCCAAGCACAAGAAAAGATGCCTGCCTCTCCTCCACTGGCTGAGCAGGTCCATCCATCATTCTGTGCCCTCTAGGCTGCACGTGCTCCAAGGAGACAGAGGCCCCAGCCAACCAGGCCCATCCTGTAGTTCATGTTTTCTACATCATAAAAAAACCCAGAGTCAACCAGCAGCTTTCCATAGCTCCCAGCTCGCAGGGGATATGCAGCCTCCAATGGTTCCAACAGTTTGGTGTGTTGGGTAGGATACACAATGGGTAGGTTTTCCTTTAGATTCTTTTAAAGAGAGGAAGCCTAAAAGGGCTTCATAACTACACCAATAAAAAACCAAAAACTTAGGCATCTCCTTTAGTGTAAAAGTCTGTACAATTTCTCTTTGCTTGTCCCTCCCCCATCACCCTGCCCCACCCCATCTGAGCCACGAAGGATGCCTTAGTGCATGGTGCTGGCATTAGCCACGGCAAGAGCTTCCTGAATCTCTCGTATCACCAGGATCCGGGTGAGCATCTGCTCCATCTGCTCTCTGCTGATCGGCTGGATGGAATACCAGATAGGGCTGTTGGGGGCCACCACTGGCTCCGGTGTCAAGTAAAATGTGTCATTCCGGCCTTTCACACTCTGGGGGCTGTGTGAGGAAGATCAGAAATAACCAGACTAACAAAATATCCTGGAAGAGAGACACCACCACTGTCCTCACCCCAGGCTTCACAAATCCTGACAGTGAACATCTGGCTGATGACACATGAAGGTACAGAGATACATCCAGGGGCAACATTCATCCCAAAGTTTTAGGACATGCCAAGGTTAAAAAGCCATGGTGAGGACTACAAGAAAGTAGTTTCTATTTCACAGTGGTAAGCATAACACACACAGCTTTAGGGGTCTTTCAGAGTGAAGAAAGGATGGGGTATTCTCACATTCAAGGCTACTTGCAGATCCATCTGTGCAGATGAACCATTAAATTTCAGAATCATCATAATTTAGAGATGAGTCCTTTGTGGCACCATCCAATCTCCATATCAAGTCCTTATTTTTGTTCAGAAGCTGGTTTGAATAGGACCCTAATCCTAGCTTCAGTAGTGGATGCTTCCAGACGACTTGTAACTCACAAGCAGAAGAACAAGTTCATGCCAACACAGCAAATGTCCAAGATTAAGAGCAGCCAGTTCACAAATCAGGATTTGTCTCTTAAATACCCCAAAAATTCAATTTACATGCCACCAGAGTTAATCCCACTCTCTCACATCAACACCCCTCTCCATTTAAGTAAATTTATGGAAATACAGAAACTGCCAGCAATATCACACAGTGCTGAAAACTAGGTCAGGCACAGGGTGCAGCTCCCCAGTCACAGAAGACAAGCACCATACATATAGAAAAGAGCTCTCACCATTTGAAGAGGTAGAAGTCATACAGCTTTATCGGACACCTCAGGGGGTTCTCTGGATTCTCGGTCTGCTCTGCATACATGTCATCTGTAACTACAAACCAGCCCCCCAGAAATCTGTCAGACACTGTGTAAGCACAGCACACTGAGCAGCACCATAGAGCCTCAACACTGCAGCACCTTGTCATCATACAAGAACTGGCCAGAGACATATGGGTGTTCCAGGGCAGAGGTACCTGGCTATAAATGCTTTACGCATTACACAGAGCTTGCTTTATGCTAAAACTATTGAAGATCACAACTCATCCATATCCTTCTTTCCAATTTTCCTCTACCAGGGTACAAAATGAGGGAAATCTCACTACTGAGACTGCAAAGCCTCAGCTGCATCCTGTGCTTTTAAGAGGGTAGATTGTACTTACATAGGAATTATGTATGAGTTCACATGAATCAAGGTAAGAGAAGCCCTCCCAAAGAATTTTCTCCATCTCTTCATAAGCACTTACACCCAACAGCCTCTTTGCCCATAAAAAAACAAAACAAAAGTAACAAAAAAAATTATCCTTAGTTCTTCATGAGTCCCACACTCCTCAGGTAAGGTATATCCCCAGGGTTATGATTAGAAGGTACTATCCTCTCTTGGATAGAATGCATGGAAAACACATACTGCCAGGCTACAGGTAACCAGCAGAGCCTTGATTCCCTACCTGCAAACATCTCCAGGTTCATCCACTTCTTCAAGCCCAAGTAAGTAAAATATTCCCAAAGAAACCTCCTAGACACTACCTTTCTGTCCTGTCTGGTGCATGCCTGGAGCCTTCATATAGCGGATACTCGTGCTTTTATCCTTAGGATTAGAAGGGTTCTTCTTGGTCTGCCTCAGCACCTTGGAGAAGGCCAGCTTCATGTGCTGGTCTACTGTTTTCAACAGGAAGTATCTGAGCAGCAAGAACAGAACACAGCACATTCAGAGGCAAGTAAGGGACATAGTCACAACAGCAAGGTAGTTATCTTTAGTCATCATCAGCAGGCTGAAGCTCAAACCTACCACTGGGCTAAGGACTGTTCCAGCAGCAAAACATCCAAAAGCCACAGGTTCAGTCAGCCCTCTGCTAGCTCACTTCCTTGTTATACTGCATCTTCTTTGTCTGATGAAGCTACAAGTGGGCTCTGTGTGCAACCATTTGAAACTCATGATTTTGCCCTACACAATGCAGCAGTTTACACACCAATCCTGTTAAGGTATCTGAAGATCTTTTATTGCCCAAGATTCCCTAAGACCTGAGTACTTACTTTGTGTTAAAAAACATCAGTGTAGTGAGCAAGGTGGAAGGGGAGTGAGCTCCAAGTTGCTTACACTCCCACAGCATCTCTTCTGTTACATGACTGGAGAGGATATAACCTGCAATAATCAGAAGTCAGCATCATGCCAGGGGACACACACAACATGAACAAAGGCAGCATTTTACAGTCTGTAAGTACTGGAGAGCATATATATCTTAACAGAAGGAGGAAGAGGAGATTCTCACCAATGTCCAGATTCAGAGCTCTGCAAATAACTTTTTTAAGAGTAGGTACAATTAGGAAACACTTGTACATATCCATCAACCTCTAGTTGTGGAGAGTATGTTTGTGCAACATATATCCCAGCCCATAGAGAAAAGAATATGCACTTAAACAGCTTTTAATTATTGGCTCAACTCCAATGCAGATGCTTTTAATCCAATAATATGTGAGAGCAGGCAGGCCAGTGTAACAAATCAGTTCTTGGCCCTGTGCACAGCTTCAGTCAGCACATAGTGCCAAGTGATGTCCTTGGACACATGAGTAATCCTTTGATTCTCAGATTTTTTTTCCCTTTGTGTAGAAGAAAAATACTACACTCCAAATACACAAATAAACAGGAAAACAGACAGCAGTATGAACTCTGGGGCTTATGGAATGTCAAAGCACTGTTCAAACAGCCAGACTGCAAACAAAAGGATTCCAAAACTCATGGTACTACTTAGCCACCTAGCCTATAACATCAGCTGCTTTTCTGAACATAAGCAGTAATTTCTTCACTGATGTCCAAATATATCAAAGGAAATAAAGCAATGAGAAACCAGGTTTCCAAACTCTGAAAATTCAATTCTTATCTAGTTCTCATCCAGTTCTCTGTCAAAATCTGTCTCTTCTGGAACTGCTCCCCCCACCCCTGTTGCCATGATCTCCTAAACATGAGGCTGAGCAGCAACTGAGTGCAGCACTGGACACTTTAATCTCACACTGTTTTTCTTTTGACACTCAGTTGGTCCTGCAGACAGTATCCATCTGGCTATATGGCACTATGATAGTGCTGTATTATCTCCCAAAGAAACAATACACATTAGAGGCAGGTACCACTTCAGATGCAGAAATCTGATTCAAATCAAGGATCAGTTGGCTGCCAAGTAAGCCGGTTCCACGACACTACAAAGTCCCCACAATGTGCCTTTTGATTGGTGACAAGTGACAGACAAATAATGCTATATGACAATCAGGGTTAGAGCCTGACAACTGCAGTAACCCCATAATTCACTGCAAACACAACGTTCTTCTCCCTGACCAGCATTAGCTAGCCTAGGGATGTTAAATACTTCAAAAGGGTTGCTATTCAGACTACCACATGCTGTAGGTTCAGTTTAAACATTCCAAGCTCTGGAAAGTTTTACAGTTCTTAAACTATAGCCCTTACCAAGAGGTGAAACACGGGGCTGTATGTCCTTAAGAACTTCATGCAGCCATTCAGTGAACCGAATATAGTAGAGATCCGAGAAGATGTCATCAACTCGGCCATTTTCAAAGAGATACTGTAAGAGATTCACAACACAGGCCAGTACAGTGGAAGCAAGTGTGTTCCTCAGACCAGATCTCATTCTAAGGGCCCACATCTTCAGTCAACCATTTTACAGCATAGCACTGGAGACTAATACAGTTTACTTGAAGAATGAGGACTCTTGCACCAAGGCAAATACAGGGTAGGCAATCCCCATTACTACCATGGGAATGCCATGACAGAAAAAGAAAAAAACATTTACAAAGTAAAGGTGATTGGATTTCACCTTTTATTTCAGGTGTGTTCACTTCAAGTTATTTCACATGACTACAGGACACTACTTTTTCAAGTTAACAACAAGGATGCTCAATTTCCCTGTCCAAGTTTAGCTCTGTTCCTGCAGCTCTTCCAGAAAGCTCATACTTCCCATAGCACATAAAGCTAAGTTCTTGGCTGTTAAAGCTTCAACTAGATTTAAGTCTTGACACTGACAACTTCTTCAAACATCATAAAACCCTTCTCTCCCCACCAAAAAAAGCTAAATGGATTTAGTATTTTCACTGTGATACTGAACTCAGTTACTCACAAACTTAACTCATAGATGAAAGCATTGCTTGCACTAAGGACAGGCAAATCATCTGATGTTTTCAGGGTTTTTTAAGCAGAGACTTTTTTCATATAAAATTGTTGAAAAGCTTAATAGAAGCCACAGTCTCTATTTTTATACTCAAGAGTCCCCCTACACATGCTGACAACATGGACAGTTCTGCAGCACATAGAGCTGTCCCATCCTACCTTCTGAATACATAGGAAGATATAGTAGAGCACATCTGGATCATAGGGTTCACCATCACCATTCCGAGCTTCTCGTGTCATTAAGCACAGACCATAATTCAGCTCAGCCACAGCAGAAGAGATGAGATCTTCCTGGAACCTCAGCAGCTGACGCCCTGGAAAAACAAAACAAAGCTATATTATATAAGTCATAAAGCCATATTATTTCCTAACATTTCAGGAAAGATTTCCCACATCTCCATTCTATCTGGCAGGTCCAGCATTACCTCATTCTCCCAAAATAGTAAAGTAAGTTGAAATAAATCCAGATCTTAGGCTGTCAGAAACAGTAGAAGATAAAACAGGCAAGAGTTTGACAGGAAGATCCTCTATCCAACCAAATACACTTCTATTGCCTTCTTTTACCATGTCCCCAGTGAAATGCTGCCCTGCAGCAACAGGAAAACAACAGCTCCATCACTGTTCTACCAGCTTGGCCAGACAGTTTGTCTGTGCACCACAGTCATGCAGTGCCCTTTACTATTGCTATCAGCCCAGGTGCTCAAGGGGGCTCAGCACAGAGCTAGCTAATACATGTCCTGTGGCAGTGAGAATACACAATTATTACTACTGCAGAGTAAATTAAAATTTAAATTTAGGAACAACCACTGATTAAACAAAAGAGTTTTCCAGAGCAGTAAACACTTAATATTTTAGTAATTCCTAACTCTACTTGAAAGGAAACAAAGGCCATGTTGTCACTACACTTACTTCCAATGGGTGCTAGTCTATTTTGAGCTTCTTTTTCCAGCTCTGCATTCTTGGTCTGTGCCCAGCTTTTCCACACTTCAAGACCTTCTTCTGGCTTCAGAGAGTTTGGAAGTAGAAGTTCAGGTGAAGTCTGTGGCTGTGGCTGTGGTTCAACTTCAGCAACCTGAACAGTTTGAGCCTATGAAAGAAAACATTTCAGTTTACATATACACTTCAGTATGCAACAGCTGGTCAAAAAACAAGAATCCCACAATACCTGTAGCCCCAGGATACCAACCTCCTGCAACACTCCCAACAAGAAATTAATCCAAGGAATGCAACTTTTGCTGTCCAACCTGAATTGGTGCTCACAGAAGAATATTCTACACTCCAAAAACTCTTTCAGTGTGAATGGACAGATCTATCTTGAGCTCACTTGTCACTCTGACTCACCACTGAAGTCTGCATCACTACAAGAGCCCCCAGAGACCATCATCCCCTGAACAGGAAGGTGCCACCAGCATTACTCACCACTGCTGTTGCACACCTAGACTGCCCTGCAGAAGGTCCTGGGTACAATCACATGCCATACACCACTGGCATCCGTCCCTATCCAGACTCCCTTCTTTAAAAAGTACATAACAGGTACACAGAATAAATATATTCTGTTCTTCTCATCAATGATTATTAATTCACTTGTAAAAGGTATAAAGCAGCAAGACTAGAATACTGCATTGAAACTGAATTGATGTTTTGATGCTCTGTTCTCAAAATACCAAATACTACTAATGGAGACTAGCTACTATTGTGTGACGAGTGACTGCATGACTTATTAGACCTAAAGCATCTCCAGACCCTTTGAAAATTTACTTTGCAGTAGGATCTTAGGTCACCAAGAATTTTGATCTCAAACTGAAACTTATTTGTCAGGCATCCAATAGCACCAATCTAAAACCTGCAGCAAGCCCTTCAGCTGCACTCACTCTGCATTCTTTACTACAGGTTCTCAATTCCATGCCACAAAGTCTCAAAGCTACCTCAATTAACAGCTTTGCAGACCTTAGTCAAACACTGTCACCCTGAATGTTACAGAAATAGCAAGTCTAATATCAAAACAGTTTTGCTTTTTTCCTTCCTAAGAAGCATAGAGACTTTTAGTACCTGTACCTTACTCAGTATAAAAACCAACAGCTTAAGAGGCAAAGTCTGCAAGAGTCTTAGACTGGAGCCTTCCAACTGCCTTTGGTTGGTTTTTTATTCTCTGCATCAGCTCTTACTAGCTTTTTGCTTATCAGCCCCTGTAGCTGTAGCATGTAGCACAGCTGCAGAGAGACTGACTGAAAAGGCCCAGCTTTAATCAAGGCAGATGGTGACAAAGTTGTGAAACTAAGCCTCTCTCTGTCTTAAAAAAGAGTCCAAGGGTGAACTGACACCTTGTCTTTGTAGTAGCCAGGACTGAGCCTCTGCTTTCCTCCAGAGTTCTGCCACATTACTCTCCAGAGAGCTGAAAGCTTTCCAAAGCCAACTCCCTCCATCAGCCCAATCCAAGGGACAGTCTTCTGCCCTGACCTCACAGACACCTTGTCCAGTGTGAAGGCTGGACATAGGCTGACATAAATCTGCTGAACTGGCATATGCTTCTTAACAAACTTACATTTTTCACCAATAGAGCAAAATTGCTGCAACTTGCCCAGATCCCCTAGAAGCACAATGCCAGAGGACAGCACAGGGCAGGCAGGCAAATTCCTTCTCAGTTTCACAGTTTTGAGAGGGTCAACTCCCAAAAGTGTGATGTTCACCTCTTGTAGCTTTTTTGCCCCCCTAGAGAGAGTACATCCCTCCTGGAATTGCCTATGTATTTATATGTATTTAGGGTATGTTATTTTAAATACCTTATGAACACTAAAGTACACTTGATGCAGAAAGTTTGCTCACAACTAGTCAGATTTCAATACTTTAGCCAGGCACTGGATCTGCTGTGGACTCCATGTGCAACATAACACAAAGTAACTGATAATGACTAGTACATATTAGCACACCTTATTTGGCTGCAATTATCCCTGCCTGTCTACTGCAGCCCTGGAACAGCTGAGGAAAATAATGCAGATCTCAGAATACCCGCTGTAAAGAGTCTGGCAATCAGTATGTATATATTAATTTTCAACACTAAGATCAAGACTACCTTCTTTTGGAAAGTTTTGAATCCTGTAACCATGTACCAACATTCTCACATTAAAGTCTTACAATCATGAGGAGTCAAGTGCCCTGTGTCACATTCAGGCTTCTGGGACAGATCCATCTCTGCTTCCCAGACACCAGCTGTCAGCATGCTCTTTCTCCACAACATTTGTAAGCTGTTAATCACGAACTGAGACCAAGAGACAGTTTTAACTTACAGAGCAAGTGACTTGTAGCTGCTGCTGCTGCCCCTGCTCTTGGGGTGTGGGCTGTGGCTGTTGTTGCTGTGGGTCCCATATGTGCACTGTCTGTGCTGTATTCTGGTATGTCCCTGCCACAGCCTGCACTGCCACTGGAATGTGGATGTTGCCATTCATAAACTGTGCTGGAAAGATCGAATTAGCAAGAGTCTGCACCACTTCCTCATGAGAGTTCTTCACTACCGAAGTACTTCCCACCATCTTATCCTTGTCATCTTCCAGCTTCACTGTAGCCAGTGTTGTGGGTGAGCCACTGACGTGGACGGCATTATAGGCCTCCTGAGGGATGGCAATGTGGGTTATGTTTTGCTGCTGAAGGTCACCACGTGGTTGAGCAGAGTAAACAGGGATGGTCCACGTCTCTCCAGTGGGGCTAGTAATGGTCCCAGTGGCACTGTACAGGTGGGCACTGTCCACTGTTAACAAGTCTGGCCTTAAAGAGACATAACTTTGCTGCTGGCCCTGAGGGATGGCCAGCACTGTGGCAACTGGCTGCCCTGAAATAGCATACGATACAGTAATAGGCATATCCACTTTACGTTTCTTCACTGGCTGAAGGACACTCGCAGAGCTGATCCGCCTCTCTCCCTCTCGTGGGGAGCCTTGTTGAGAAGGTGGGGGTGACAGTGCACCAACTGTCTGGATCTGGATCTGCTGGCCACCAGTAATGGCCTGTCCTGCCACAAGCTGGGCCTGGATCTGCTGGTGTTGTATGTGTTCCTCCTGTAGCTCTGCAGCCTGGATCTGTTGGGCAGTCTGCACGTGCTGCACTTGGATCTGAGCTGCCTGCAGCTGCGATGGGCTGGGGCTCTGAAGAGACTGACTCTGTATTGTCTGGGATGGCTGCTGCTGCGCCTGGCCTTGGATCTGCACTTGGACCTGTATTGGCTGCTCCGAAGCCTGATGGACAGAGAGCTGTGGAGAGAGCTGCTGGGCGGAGACCTGCTGCGGTGACTGCTGGACCTGAACCTGAACCTGCAACGACACCAAGCCACTAGTTAGAGACCAGCAAATGTCAGTGATTCAGTAGAGATGGTCTGTTACTCAAGATCTGTGATCTGGGTCTTTTACGCTCACTTTTGATTACATGTATTAATCCATTAGTAAATATTTCAGGAAAATGAAACCAAGTTATTCTAGAAGTGCCTGGTTGATAACAGTGATACAGTAGATCTGTTTGCTCATCATTGCACAGGACTCCCAGTGCATGAGTTACATCTACACCCTCAAAGCTCTGTGGGCTCAAGCCAACAGATACCATTCTTGGAATCCAAGAGTTTTCAAAGCTATTTGCATTGCTAAAATGTTACTTTAGCACAGGTCTCACAATACCAAAACTTTAGAGTAATTCACATTACAATCATAGGAGCTTGCCTTATTCTTACCATGCTCCAAAGATTGTTTTACTGCTGCCCACCCCAGCCCCAAGATGGCCACAGGATCACTTGCTGGTGACAGGCAACAAGAAATACGGGTAAGTCGAAACCAGCACTTGACTCTTTCCTCATAAAGCACAGGAATATTACTTTGAAACCTATCATTAATAGTAACACTACTCAAGCAGGTGTCAACACAGAATATGGCAAGTTCACCCTCAATCTTTGTCATGCATTAATGACCTATGCTGCAGCATGTTTTTTTAAGCTCTAGAAAAACCTCTTTGGCAATGTTAATTAAAACAACCCTTTTTTCATTATTTAGTTATTCCATTTAATACCATTTATTGTCCAAACTACTCAGTTGTATTTTCTAGCTCATGCACTTAGACAATGCTGAATAACACAGACAAAATCTGTTGACTTGATTCCAAACCAGCTTCTTTTCTTTTAGAGGAAAAAAAAAAATTAAAAAAATCACACTCTCTCATACTAATGCTCATTTGTTCAAGGTCTGCCACAATACCTAGCAGAAGTCCAGCAGCACACTGAAAGCCAGCAAAGGTAGCCCCCAGCACAAATTTCAGGTCTCAGTAGCTTCACATGCCTTGTCCAGACACTTCTCCACTTTTTCTCACATTTACACAGACAACCTGCTACATTTGCCTTGTCCTAGAAGCAATATCCCAGGTACTCATGATCATCTGTTTCTCTAGCCTTCATTAACACCTTATCTTGAGGGAATTAATTACTTAACACCTCTTTCTGGAGCCAACACAGCAACTTATTTAGTTGCAAGACTAAATGTCTTCCTACTCACAATTCTCATTTTTTTCTACTTCACTTCCTGGAGCCAGGCTAATGCAGCATTTGCAGAGAGACAGCAGACTAGCCAGCCTGACAACACCAAAAAGAACTACAGCGCAGGCCTGCTGTGCACAGAAGCTCATTTCTCAGTGAGACCACTGCTAAGAAGTTTTGAAAAATGTTAAGGACTCATTTACTCCCAATTAAGAATTGCTAAGGAAAAAACTGGGGCATCAAAATGCCCCACTGGCAGGCCAGATTTGTAAGTCACCTCCTGTTAAGAATTAATTTATTTCCAGGAAGAACAGGGTATAACTCCTTCTGGGAACTCTGTGAAGTGTACTGTAATCCAGATGACGTGGTGACTCTGTAGTACCTTCCTGAAAGGTAACAAGAAGCATGTGACCTTTTGTCAGCATGACAGTTAAAAAGCTGCATCAATGTGTGATTTGATCAGGCAGTCAATTGAAGAAGATGAACTCATCTATGGGATGTTTCCTCAGTTCTATCTGATATCGTTCTACTCTGGAGCATGAGTACTGCCTTAGGCAAAGAGGCCCAAACATGGATCCCAGGTAAGGAAGGGTTCAGTTTAAGAAAGCCAGTTGCAATCACACCCCTAAGGCAAGAATTCTCCAAAATATTTCACTTTAAAAATAACTAATATGGTCCTTACTATTAATTTAAGTCCTTGTTCAAAAGATTACCTGCAAGGCAAAGGCCAAAGATTGAACAAACTGCATGCTTTATTGCACTGATATTTTCAGTTTCAGACAAGAATTCAAAATTATGTTAAGAGGTAAATGTGTCATTTGTCCTGTACTTCTGTAGCGTTTTCAGAATTTGCACAGGTTGACTGAAAGCACTTTAAAAGCACCCGCACCTTCTTTCCACACAAAATTTTACATTACAGTTCCTGTGAGTGCTGTAACCTATATAAAGGAAAGACTTTTTTCTTTTGCTAGCAGTAAGAATTCAAAGTCTCCTCCTGTGCTGAAACAATTTTATCACATAAGCATAACTAGAAAGGTAATGGAATTGGTTTAAGAGACATTGTTGGCAAGAGGCACGGTATAAAACAAACAGAACAAGACCGCATTTGCTCCCTTCTGCTCTTGTAAACAGATGGTTTCAGTTTGAGGGGACCTCCACTGATCATCCAGTCCAACTGCCTGACCACTTCAGGGCTGACCATAAGCTACGGCATGTCATTCACAGCACTGCCCAAATGCCCCTCAAATAACAACAGCCTTGGGGCACCAACCACCTCTCAGAAGCCTGTTCCAATGTTTGACCACTCTCTTGGTAAAGAAATGCTTCCCAATGTCTGCTCTAAACCTCCCCTAGCACACCTTTGAACCACTAACCATTTTGGAGCCTGAGCCTACAGAAAGTCAGTGGCAACTTCCCCCACTTTCAACAGATGAGCAGCCATGGCCTGAGGCCCTTTGAAACTCTCCCAGTACTAAACGCTGACTCCTACAACAGGGATGTCTTGCTACTGCTTTAGAGTCCACCCTGCTATTGCTAACACCCAAAGAATGAGTCCAGGCCCAAACAATATGAAGTCAAACTCCAGAATCACTTGAAGGTCTCCATGTTCCAAACTGCAGACATCATGCTTCTGACTACAGGATGGTCCTATTTAAAGGCATATCAGAGCTCTACCTGCCACACATTAAACATCCCCTGTTACATATCCATTTTTAATAACTGTATCTTGCAGTGGGATCCCTCCCTACTTTCAAGCAGGTTGTATCCAAGAGAGCTAGAAGCATCCATTTTGGATTTACAGGCTTTAACCTGGTCTGAGACCAGAGGCTTCTTATATTGACTTCATTGTCCTTTTTTTCCTCAGATAGCAAATTAGACAAAGAATTACACTAAGCAGCAGCAGACTTTATAAAAGACTCTGTACAAAGGGGAATGTTTTAAATTTACAGGCCAAGACCAACAGGGCAGACTTTAAATCTTCACTTTATGCTGAAGATCAAAGCAAAAACAAGTTATGTTGGCAATTCCTGGGTTATTCGTGCAAGAAAGGAAAATGCCAAGTTACCAGTACTGAAATACTATTTATTGCCAAAGGTCTGGATCCAACAGCATAAAAGAATGACCTCCCAGCAGGCTACCATGACACAGAGAAATGCCTTTTCACCATAAAGTAGCTGGAAGCTGGATCAAGTACTAGCTGCCTAGAAAATCAAAAGCATCAGAAACCAACCCTTTATTTTAACAGGAGGGCAGAACTAAATTCCCTTAAAGGAAATCTTCTGTCACATCAAGCCCAAAAACATATTCTGTCCTGAACTGAGCACATGCAAAGAGTAAATAAGTAACCCCAGGACCATGACAACATCTGAAGCCTAGTTGCCAAAACTTTTTTTCCTAATGGTTGATAGACAAACTTTCAAGTAGGAGTCATAACATGTCTGCCCTGCGTGGATTCTCTGCCCAAAAAGGAATCAGACTTAGTTGTTTCAGAACTGCAGTTCTGAAACAACTGAGATTTTCTTTGCTTGTCAATTCTTTCATCTGCAGACTGACTGGGTTATCTAATATTTCCTAAAACCTAGCTCTAAATGAGCACATATAGCAACTCTTTCCTGACTTTTTTGATATGTCCCAGAGTACCTGACAGGCTCTTAAATGCATCTCTTCACAAAGAGATCTTGGTTTCTGAAGCTGTATGTAAACCAGCAAACAGCAGTACACACCAAGAGCAGATCTCCAGAGCAAGACTGGAGATGCACTAACATGTCCACACTAAACCTTCCAGAAGACTATTTCAAACTTAGTTCTAGTCTTGCCCACCAGCCAAGCTTGACATCATCAAAACACAGGACTGCATCTTACAGCTTAGTTTCATCTGGAGGGAACCCCAAATTACAGGCTCCAAACCTGCAAGAGATAAGAGGGGGAAGGTGGCCAACTTGCTGCAAGAAGTATGCCCCCAGGAGTAAAGCAGATGCATCTCAAACCTCCCACACAAAGTCAAATACTTGGGAAAAAGTTAGTGAGAGCACGAGAAGAGTAATCTCAGGTTTTTTAGCCCTATTTAAGGACAGAAGACTTAAAATACAGTTCCTTTAACAGTCCTAAGCTAAAGCAAGCCCAGCACTAAAAACTAACACTGTTACAAAGCGTGCCTTCTAAAGTTACACCAGAAAGTGAACATGCAAGTACAAAACAGGTATGAAAAGTGTAAGTGAAGAGTAAGAAAAAAGACTGATCAATGAAGTAGCAGGAAATGTCAGAACTTGTTATTTAACTATTTTACCGGAAGTCCTTTGCTATCTAAGTAAACAAGGTCTACGGGAAGGGCAGAAGTCAGCCTTTCAGAACAACGGCCAGACTGACTCTCACTCCAGGTTTTTACTCTGCTCATTCATCAACATCAGAGAGAGAATTCCATCAGCTAAATTAGCCCTTGGGTGTGTTTAAACAGCTACACTATCAAGATTATGCTGTCAAGCTGTACACTGGGGAGGGACTTAGGTCTAAGACAGTTAAAACACATGAACCAAGGAAAAGCAGCTTACCTCTCCAGCAGAAGCTTACTTCCATATACAAGTAGATGCTACCTCGAAAACACCACTCTTGACTATAACCACACTTCCAAGTGTTCCACTCAGCCCTAGCAAACACTAATTAATACCTGCTGCTACCCTAAAATCGTACTGGCATGTTTTTCAAATGTAAGCAAACAGGAACTCTACCTCCAAGCTAAACTTCAAAACCAGTACAGAGGCAAGAGGAAGGTACATGCATTAGAAGCAAAGATGTATTCTGTGCAGAGCCAGAGATAAGACTTTTTTCTATGCTATTTAAGGGCATCTTTCCCTGCCCTGTGTCATTAATAATGTCTAGCCTCTTAAAAAAGCCTGAAGTCACAGAATAGACTGAACAGTAAACACACAAGGAATTAAGCAATTAGAAAAGCACAGGTATTAACTGAAAGATACCTTACTCAGGTATTTAACCATTCCCCATACAGTTCCGTGATCTTGCTCACATGTAGCAACCTCCCCTCGAGCCATGCCCAAGAAAATCTTTCCACCCAGACATCAGACTGTTCATAAAAAGCTGAAGCTGAAGATTTTCTCCACACACACCATAAGCAAAGATACTTTCTGTTCTCTGATATGCTTTCAGTTAAAGCTTCTTGTGTAAGGGGCACAAGAGGTTCACTGACCTCTGCAGAAGTACCATATTTGGGAAGCAAGCCAGCACTAAACACCTCACTGGCACCAACAATTTGATGGCCTCAATGCACAGGACCAACAAGCAACAATCTCACCAAAAGCAGAGCTGATAAAACTTTACTTGACTGGAGCAAAACACAGACTTTTCTCGCCACTCCCTGCACAACGAAGTACGATAACTTGACATACTAAACTCCTTCTGAAGGTCACTTATGGCACCCCTGTGATACTGGGCACAGAAGGAGCTCCAGGACACTTTAACTGTAGAAATGACCAGTGTACATAACCCAACAGTTGCATCCACTCATCCTGTAAAATAAACATATGATAAGACTTTGTTGAACCTTTTGGGCAAGAAAACCTCAAGGTGACAACTTCTTCAAAGAAAAAATTTATTTTGCCAGAATAAATAAAAGCAGCAAGCAGTCACACTCTGTCTTTAGTTGTTCACAGCAAGTAAAATCCAGGATGAAACCTGAGCACTGTCTATCTCTATGATTTTAAGATCATCAGCACTTGCAACTGTGAGGTCATCTGACTGGTCATACTGTTAGTCACCTTCAGCAGCACTGTCACACTGCCAGACATAAGCATAGTTATTCAAAGGGTCTTCCACTGATTTGAAATTGGATTAGCAAGAACTAAACAGATTACCGAGTCAAGTACCAGGATGACAAGTTTAATCAAAAGCTAAGAGGCTTCGGCAGATGACCAAAATTCATCATAATACAACACAAGCAGTATTTTAGCACAGGGAGCCAGCTGGACCGGGTGCACGGCTACGGTGGAACACTGTCACTCCCCAGAGTCACAAGAAAATCCAGCTTTATCCAGAAGATGTGCTCTGCCACTGCTGCCACAGTGACAGTACAGAGATAAGTGAACACTCAATCATGGGTTTAACATAAATTATGTCTCAATAAGAAATCCTGAAAGACAGAAAAACACTCATGCAAAGGGGTAAAGATATTCTTCTCCACCCTATTCTTGCAGAAAAACTAAGGTAATTCTGAGCTAGCTGCTAAAATACACCTGAGTTCAGCTGCACTGCTTGATACACAAAAGCTGCAGCCACATCTAGCACCAATTGTGTCACCTAAAGTGAGCAGCAGGGTAGGCAATACAAACAGTAATGATGATCTGTACAGATAGGAGAGCAGGTATATAGAAGCAGAGGCATGTCAAAAACAAGACGAGAGTAGACAACATTCTTTAGGAAAGTTGCTGAAATCTTAATTTTCATGAAGCTTTTCATATTCAGGGTACAGGTCATTCCATTCAAAAATCAAGAACTGGTTTCTGGCAGCAACTCCATATTTATTTACAAGGCCAGATTATTTTTCTCTGAAGCATATGATATATGACCTCCCTCCCCATCTCTGTAACTAAAGACTTGCAAGGGTCAAGCCTGAACATTGGGTAGTTCTGAAAGGAGGCAGCAAGAGGAAAAAAATGAGAAGAAAAAAAAATAAATTCCTTTTGGCTTTTACAATTGATCTGGGGGCTTTCCACATCTTCAAGGATGAAGCCCTCAAAAGCCAACCCTCCTAGCTCTTCTACAGAAAAGCAAAACTTCTTCCAGAAAACATACTAGCTGGAAAAACCAAACCTACTCTTGATCAGCTTTAATAGCTCATGCAGAGATCCAAGTCATGCCTGAAAGACTTCAGGTTTTTGTTCTTCAAAAGCCTTTCAACACAAGTCACTGCAGGCCAACAGGTTACAGAAGTCCCGGTTAAGCATTCATTTACTCAATAGAGAGTAACTGGAGACAAGTTACCGGTGAAGGAGGTAAGTTTGTCTTTGTGGGATAAAAACATGCAAGTGAGCTGTTGGCACAAGTCTACTGCACTGCAGCAAGTACACGCTACCTTATCTCCAGTCATTTATGACTCCATAACCTCACTTATAGTTAAAAAAAAAAAAAATAAGAGCTCGCAGTTTTACGTTCTGCTACAGAAACCAGAAAGATTCATATCTCAAGCATATCAGAATGACAGCTATAGCCAGAGCTCAGCTGTTTAGAGATATATAGAAAAACCTTAGTAAATGCCCTGCAACCCATGAACTCTTCAAATTACAAAATATATCTGAGGACAAAAGCAGTTTCCTAAGTTATAAAATTGGTTTGTTTTTTTTCCTCTGATACTGGATTTGCTTACTTAAAACTTAATAAAATATATAATGTAGTATCTACTTTAAAAAAAACAAAGAAAAAAACCACTTTCCACTGTGCAAATGGATAATCTATCTTGATGCATATGCATGCTTTAGAATTCCTTTCCTGAAATGTATCTTCCCCTGGTTCATATGCTAAAGTTGACTCTTGCATTTCTCCCTCACTTAAAAGTCAGTTCAAGAACAACTTTTAGAATGTTCAAGTAAAACTATTTGAAGATTATTGATTTTATTAAGAAAAAAATAATCCTTAAGGCAAGCTCCATCCCACAGCCACCCTGAACAATGAGACAGTCAGAGGGGGTTGGTATTTATAGCAGCTTCAGTGCACAAGGCTTCGGGAGTTGTGTACATGCCAGAACTGTCGACCATTTCTCCAATAGGTGACACCACTCCATTGCTATGTACGTGGCTCCTCCTACAGCAGGCCCCGAGGGCAGCACAGATACGAAAGCCAATTTACTAACAAATTCCTTAAATAAAAGGGAAATATTGCTGTTCTGTATAAAGTTAATTTGTCCTGCCTCTTAAGTACTTGTCTGAGGCTTAAGGTTAGACAGCAGCTCTGAACATCACTCCATCACTTAGCATTTCATACAGACATTCAGAGATTATTTCAGATGCTTACCTGGACTTGCTGGGGTTGCTGAACCTGTATCTGCTGCTCTGGCTGAGTTTGTTGCTGGATACTGGTTGTCACAGGACAAGCAAGTTCAAGCAAAGACCCAGCCACCTCTGTGCTGTCCGTGTAAATGCAGTTGCCACCCTGCTGATACACCATTGTGGTAGTGGCTGTCTGCTGAAACTCCTGGAGGGCTTCTGGCCCCTTGGAAGCAAGGGAGTCTAGAAACTCCTTCATCCTGTGCTGGGGGATCGTTCGCGCCTTCACACGGATGTATTCTTCAAAGGAAATGGTGTTCTCCAGAGAATTATTCATATTGCAAGGTCCTCAGGGTTCCTTAAGGAAAGAGAAAGTTAAAGTCTTAACTACAGCACTCCCTTGATGCAAGGACATTCTTAACTCCAGTAACTAATCTCTCATACCAAGTACTGTATGAAAACTGGCAAACATGCACAGCCAGATGCCCAAGACAGATGCTTTAGTTTTATGAGGCATCTTGTGCTACTACACTTCTCAGATTAACCCTTGGCAGCTCAGGGGAGTCTGAATGATACCCAGGTGTGAGGACTCCTCCTCCCAGAGCTCACTGCCATGTAAACTCTCCTAGCTCTATACTGCACCCAGACGAGGCAAGTCCTGTACCAGACAAATCCAGTCGTACATTCCATTTGTTTGCAGCATGCACTGTTAGCAAGAGAGGCTCAGAAATCAATATCTGCGGCCCTACTTTGCAGCCGCAGAGGTGGGAAACTGAGCAGAGTGTTCTATCAGGCCGTACAGTTCTATTCTAGGCAGCTAATGGGAAGCACAAGAGCAACAGATGCAGCATTCAGCTCATTGCTATTAGGACTAGGACAGCCTCGTCGATTTGAACATAGCAAGCAAAAGGAGAGCGCTGGAATTGAGGTATTTCCTCAAACTGGGAACTACACACATGGAGAAGCCGAGCTCTGCAAATGACAAAGGCAACTGCAGCATCAGTTCTTGATCTCCTTTTAATATAGGAAGAGGTTAACATGAAACATGCCGTGCGTGAAGACAAAAGAAAGACAGAAAAAGAAGTTAAGATGATCAGGGTGGAAGTGAAAGCAAAGAAAAAAACCACCACCACCAAAGATGACTCCACCTGAGAACATCAGACAGCTCTAGGGTATACTCTGATAGCATTCTTCTCTTATTGACATATCTTGTTTAAACCCACAAATTGTTTTTGCAGTGAGTATACTGGTTGTTTCTAAGACACTACTTAGCCTTGACAGAGCATAAATACATTTGAGATATAGCATCACCAGATACTGAGACCATCGTGAAAAGATGTGAAACAACACAAGATCAGGACTAGAAGAAGTGATTCAGCACTACTAGATCAAGCTGCATAAAGGAGGAAAAACAGACAGACATCACTATGTACATTATGACTGTAGGTCTAAAGAGAACAGGTAAAAAAAACACAGCTTTATGTATCCTTTCAGCATGATTTAATAAAGTAGAACTGAGACAGGGCTATGTTTGAACATAGGACTGCAAAAGTCTGCCTGAGTGAAAATTCTAGGCTTTCACTGGCACTTAAGCACACTGCACAAGTCCAGTTCCAGTTATCACCAAATCCTGGGAGAGCTGAAGCAAATTCTAACCCCTCTTCACTGTTACGTGACAGCAGTCCAAACATACAGTTTTTGTTTACATGGAGGTTCATGGCTAGTGCATTGGACTAGGCTCACAGAGAAAAAAAACTACTATCAAAGGTAAGGGGAACCCACGTGAGGCAACCTGCGCTCTATCTATGGTATCTGAAGTCTTTAAGACACATTTGTTGTTGTACGAAACTTCCACAGAAGATATTCTTAAAATATGCAGCCTGTTTAGTAAAAAGCACAGGATAATAGTGTTCACACAGCAAATCCAATAGTTCTGTAAATACCAGCATACAGAAGCTCCTGTAGAGCCCACATCCGGACAGAAAAAACATTATTTCAGAGACACCAATCTGACATTTTCAAGCCCACTCTGGGGGATAGAGCCAGTAAGACTACTCACTTCTCCAGGAGCCACCTAAGAGTACGCTACACCTTTACAGCACACATTACTAACCCCTTCCCAGGTGACCATATGGCCATGGTGAATCCAAGGAAGAACACTGATGTTAATGCATCCACAGGGACTCAGACAAGACCTACACTGAAATGTGTTTCGCATCTAACTGCATGATGCTCCGTTATATACTCTGAGGTTGGAAAACAGATTTTGAGCAATTAACTTGTTCCAGTCTACTTCTTGGAACTTGCAAGTATTTGACTTCAATACTACAGTGAGGTTTTCAGAAGAGCATCATTATTTTCTATGTCCACCCTGAGATGCAGATACAGCTTTGAGAGGGAAGACTCTTCTGAAGAGTAAGCCTCAAGGATGCCATGCTGGGATCCCAGACATGAATGCCACAGATGTTCTTTGACAGTCAGCAGCTGCTGCTGAATTGGATGGGCTCACCTCTCCCAGGTGCTCCCTTCCTGCTCCTGCACTGTTTTTTATTATGTTGTAACAACTCAGGGAATAGCTATCCACCTTCTGTTAACCTTGTAAAAGGAGAGAGTAAGAAGTCAGCAGGGCCGCTGTTTCAAATGGCAGCAGTTAGCCCTCAATTCTACTTTTGAAACTCCAACCTTTCTTTCAAAAGTTGTATCATTCTCCCACATAAGCGACCAGAAGCCACAACCCCAGAAGCATAAGCAGCAGAGGTCCGCCACCAAACCATCACCGACCTCTTCTGACCACCAGGAAGCAGAACAAAGCAACCACTAATTTCTTAAATACAAATCCTTGACCCTGCTCAGTTGATTCATTTCAATTAGTTCTTGTTAGCATCAAAATCAAGAGCCTACTAGGCCAGTCTTCCCCTATTAGTAAATCTTCCTCTCACACAAGCTGTCAGAAGAAATCTCTTTAATTTCTTCTACCATGGAAAAAAATATTCCTTTACATTTTCTTAAAGTTACTATACTAATAGCCACTAAGCTGAGCCCCTGCAGTATTCCAAGTGCCAGGCATGGAGCAGAGCCCCACCATGCCACAAGGCATCTGTTCCTGCCCTAAAAGAGCAGCAAGATCCTCCCTGGCTTTTCTCTACAGCTGCAGTTACAGACCCTGTAGGTAACAGTGTCTCCCAGCGTCAGTATCGTTCATATCAGTTTTAAGGCTGCTTGGGATTATTCACCTAGAAGCACTGAACCACCCAAAACTGCACTTCACAAGACCCTACACAGCAGTAGAGGTACCAGGTTCAGAGAAAGATTCAGAAATGTAATGCTGCACACACAGAAATTTTACTTATTAAAACTAAACCAACCTGCATTTATGGCAGAAAACCTCTGTAAGGCTCTAGGGTGCATTCAACAGGCTTTTGTAGGGCAACACACACAGCTTGCTGCTGCAGTCACCACTTTCACTGTTAGTTATTAAAGCACACTAACTTTTGCATTCCATTTATCCCACAGACACGCACTGGAAACAGCAAATGCCCACCCTCACTGGATCTCAGCTGCATGTTTTAAATATTGCATTTTAAAATTAAAAAAAGAGCATCTAGGCAATAAGTTTCTCAAATAAAGGAAGGCACCTCCTCTCTGTGCAGCATAAGTGCATTTTTTTCAGGAAGTAAGTTCAAGAAATTCTTTGAAGATTATGAGCACATACGGTTAGTTGATAAAACTTAAGACTGAGGTTACTGAAAACACACACACAACTTGCAGCATGTGGACAATCTGGACTCACCAGTCACCATGTTGCATGTATTTCTGCTGCTCTTGTCCTGAGCTCTTAGACTTGTAACGTTCTGGAGAAGACAGAACAAAGAAGCCCTTTCCATCCCCAGTTCCTCTTTCTTTATTAAGTCATTTTATTTTTAATATGTATTCCATTAAGAAAAAAAAAAATCAGGAAACAAAGATATGATCATCCACGCAGACAGCAGCTCCTACTGAGGAATTGCAAGATGCCCAATTTCTAACCATCGTATCCCTCAGCCTGGTGGTACTGAGAACGACTGTGTGAGCACATCTGTCACAGAGCGACGTGCGGCGACTGGCGCGGCACGGTGGGTAACACCGGAATTACTGGCACACAGAACTTAGAACAAGGCAGCAGCAGCAGTGACCGTATCCAGAAGCCCCTCCGCGCTCCCCTCCGCAGGTGTTCCCGGTGCTGCCCCGAGAGACAGCCGGGAACGCTATGGACCGCTCGGCCACCCAGCCAAGACGAGACGAAGCTCCGTATTTGGCCCTGAGAACGTCGGCCGCAGCTCAGCCTCTGTCCTGCCCAAGCGGGGACGCGGAACCCATGGGGCTTCCCCCGCCCGCGGGGACCCGGCACTGCCCCAGCCGCTCCCGCCGCCTTTGTTTGTCGGCGGGGCGGCCGGGCTGGGCCCGCAGGCGGCGCCGTGACACCGCCTCCCCCGCCCCCCCGGCAGGAGCCATGTCGGGGGCTCCGCGAGGACGGGGCCACCGAGGGCCGCGCACAGGCCGCGCCTTCCGGTGCCTCGCTGCCCGAGGCGGCGGGGGGGGGGGGGGGGGGGGGGGGGGG